AATCCTAGAGAGGGGTGAGAAACGTCCATTGTTCTCGTCAGCGCGGCTGTCCTTTTTCAGGGTTTGTACGCACGGACAGAAAACTTAAGTATTGTGGGAACGTTACTAATGAAGCCACTGGTAGTACTAGTAGATATCAGCCTGTAGTCTTGAACAAGCGCCTCGATGACGAGTGAACAGTTGTCAAAAACAAAAGACCCAGTAGTTCAACTACTGTTGATGCGTGCCGCAACGACCAAACCTAATTGCTCCTCAAGGTCACAAAACAATAACCGGTACTGACGGCTAGGCTCGTCTTAATCATATAAGTAGCGCGTTTCCACCCCCTGATTGAGGGAGTCGTCTGTTGTATTCATGCGACTCCTACTTGACGAAAACGAGGCGCGATACCCAGATGACAGGTAGGCTTACAGAATTTGTGATAGGGTATGATACTCTTTTATGCGATCTGACACACACCTTGAAAACGGGTAGTGTGGTCAGATATACCGGTTTATTCTAGACCCGTAGGTGCCGAGTCTGGTAGTTGGGAAGGCCTGATCTTAGAATGAGCAAATTTATTTCAGGTCACTTTTACATTAAATTTTATATTAATAAAACTAATGTATTATTTTCAGAATCATGAGAAAACCTGTGAATATCGCCAGGTTAAGTGTCCAGATTGTGGACAGGAAGTGTCACCTCGTATTCTAACAGAACACAAGCGAGACAAGTGTCCCTTGAGGTCCGTACCTTGCAGATACTGTAACAAGACTTTCATTGCTAAGGACAACTGGGTATGTAGGTATTAAGAAAATGGAAATTTTTAATTGTCTGACACAGTTGTGGTTTCTTCTTTGTGGTGCATTTCTCCATGGATTACACAGTAATTGGAAACTGACTTGTCTTCAAACTTGCAGAATTGATGAATAATAGTAAAATACAGAATAAGCTCAAAAATCAGCTTGATTGAACAGATAACAAATTAAGTACAAAACCTATCATCTTTAAACTTGCAAATCTGTCCAATTTTACTACAATACAGGCCAAGTTCGAAAATCCACCTGATCGGATTATTATTCTTGAGTTTATCTATTTTTTCTTTGTAAAATGTTCATTTTTCACATGTTGGCATTTCCAAGGTGTGACTTTAAACTTCAGTGGGCCTGCAGACCTTTCCTTGTCACATTTTATGAATGTCCATGTTAAACTGCAGTACATAATTAAAATTTGTCGGTAAGTATATGCTGTTAAGCATTATGTAATATTGCATCAAAATTGATGAAAAAGCCACCATAAAGATCATTAAAGGAAAACCAAGTTTTTTATTATTCTCAAACTTACAGAATTGATTCTTAAAACTGAAATACAGCCGGAGTTAGAAAACTAGTCTTATTGGATTGTTTTTCTTGAAAAAATGCATTTATTTTTAAATGTTTGCAGTTATGTGAAACATTATATTTTCACATCAACAATTTTCATGCAGGAATTTGAAAATCCATGAGCTTAAAGCCCTTTGCTATAAACCTTTTTTAATACTAGTATCCATGTTATTTTTTAGAAAATAACTAGAAATTAGAGGTGATTTTGCTCTTAAACATCATGTTATATTGCAGGAAAATTGACTGTTCTATGCACTGTCATGGTACTTACTATAGAACTAATTCATTAGACTTAAATACAATTTGAGTTAAAATACCAGCCTGATTGGATTCTTTTCTTTTTTTTTTTTTGGTCTATACATTGAGAACCATTGCTCCTTATTCTCTAAACTGTTCAACTTAAAATAGGAAAGAAAAGGTGATCAAAGCAGAGCAGGCATATAATGTTTTTGACAAACAACAGATATCATTACCACATACATTGATAGGTTAAAGTTGTCTTTGTTTACATAGCTTATCTTTTTGATTGTTTTCATGAATTATCAGTAGAAAAAAACTTACATATATATATATATATATATATATATATATATATATATATATATATATATATATATATATATATATATATATATAATTTTTTTTTTTTTTTTTTTTTTTTAGAGCCACAATGGTATTTGCCCCAAGTTCCCCATCAGATGTGATTTTTGCGACAACCTTCCACGGAAAATACCACGTGACAAGGTAGATGAAACTTTTTCTATCTGGAAATGCTTTGTATTATTTTTTTCTTTGGGGGGAGGGATGAAATTATATAAAGTAGAATAATTTGACATGCCTGTGAATTATTGTTATATTGTGAGTCTATAAAATGTTTATGTTTATGTGAAGGACAAATATAATGCTATAATTAGTTGAAATAGACTATTACCCCCATCATATTTGAAGAGGACTCAAAACAATTTTTTGCGAAGTGCCACTGTGTCTTTGAAGTGTATGAGTCATATCTAAACTTTTAATTTAAAATGATATTACAGTGTGTTAAAATATTACTGAGCTATTGTCAACTAGATTCACTCTCTATCACTACTTTGCCTTGTGAGGCATTCAAAGCACAAACCTTTGCTTGCAGTTTGATGAACTCTATATAGCTTGCTGATAACTGGTAGCCTTTCTCTGCTTCTTGGCGCCAGGTTCCATATAATTGCTTGTCTGAAAACGTTACTGTACGTAGATTGTTGATGACACTTGAATTCTGTACAGGCCTGTAGCCAGGGAGGTTTGAATGAACTGCCCTTTTTGCTGGAAAATGGCCTGCTCTGGGTGAAAGGTCCACTTTTCGGAAAAAGTACCTTCCCTCTTTCAAATGGCTGGCTACAGGCCTGCTTTATCTATGTGTGCCAGTATTTTTTAAGGTAGATTTGTGCATTTTATATACATGCACATCAAAAGTGTCAGAAAATCACATCTTTTTAAATTTTATTTTATTTTTGGCCTAATTCTTGAAATCCTGTACTGTGTATAGCACTACTTTTTTTTCACTTACAGATGCCTGATCACCTGAAAACATGCAGAAGGGATAAAGCTCTGTGCAAATTTGGTTGCAAGGAAAAGGTGTGTAGCTGTGGAAATTGTAGAGGATATCTGTCAACCAATTTTTGCAAGTATAGGGAATTCAGTTATAAAAATTACCACCAAAAAAAAAAAAAAAGAAAAAAATCATGGTCTTTGCTTGTGAGTGTCCTTGTCCTTGGTGGTTATTAGACTGTTAAAAAATTTCCTTTTGTGATTTATTTTTATGGATTTAAAATGATAATAACTCTTCGTATGAGTTCTATATTTCACTATAAAAACATTGTAAACAACTCGTAGAAATATAATATATTCTGTTTTACCACAAAAACAGCAGTTATAGCTGTTATTATGATATCTGAGCTTGTAATCAGACCACGTGACCTCCATAGTCTGTAAAAATCTCATAGGAGATTATAACAAAAAACAAACTTTTTAGAAAAAAAAAACAAAAAACAGGGACTTACTTTGAATGTAGAAATGGATTCATTAACCATTGGTAAGTATGGGAAAACTGTTGTTTATTCCAGAAAAATTAATTTTTTGGCGAAAACAAACAGTAATTATCCCTTTAACTGACTTGAAGGCCTATTAAAATGTTTAACAAAGGGTTCTTTTTAAGTGCATTATATTTATGGTATATGTTATGATTTGAAAATAGACACGAATAATATTAAAGTTCTGTTAACAATATCCCGGACTTTATCATTTTAAGATAATAAAAATTCTTTTCAATAAATTAAATTTAAAAACAATAATGTTTCCAGTATGAAGTAAATAAGGAAGGCCAGCACATGGAGCAATTTGCTGTGCCCCATCTTGATCTGGTGAGAGAGAAAATGGAAAAGCTGGAGGCTGAAATTAAACAGAAGCGCCAGCAGGGTGAAGAGGAACATCTACAAGCTTTAATAGGTGATTGACATTGGACTGGATAATCATCTCACAAAGGATAAAGTATTAAAAAGTTAGAGACTCATTGTCTCTGATGATGTGTTGATAAAATTTCATTTTGTAGAATTGATTAATGATTTTCTAATGATACAAATTCTAGAATTTTTTTAATGGATGTATTATTATAAGTTCTAATGAAGATATTTCTGTATATATTTTTAAGGTCGTTTGTCCATTTTGGATTCCAACATGAAAGTGTGTCAGGCCAAGGTTGCTGATCTCAATCAGAAGGTCACTGGGATGTCACAAAGGTCACGGATCGAGGCGGACTCAGGCACGGCTTATGCATTAGCAGCTGCTTCCTCCTCCCCATCTACTGACAGTGGCATCTCCCAGATAATAGACCAACTCAAGACACAGGAAGGGATAATAGACAGCAAAGTCAACACTTTTGAAGGTATTGTGGCCGTTCTTAATCGGGAGGTAGAAAAATGTAGCACCCAGTTGGAAAACTACGAAGGACAACGGCGTCTTGATAGAGAGGCACTAGAGGGTAATGAACGCAAAATCAAGTCCTTGGAAAGAGTCATCGCCTTGAAGGATGTTTCAATGGCGGAGCAAGACCTGCGCATTCAAGCCCTGGAAAACGCAAGCTTTGATGGGATCCTTATTTGGAAGATTTCAGATTTCAGCCGTAAACGCCATGATGCTATTACAGGTAAATTTTTTTATTGTTTTTTATTTGTTCATTTATGTAATTATTTGTGTGTGTGATATTGGGATGTTTACAATTTTGGCATTAAGAGATGACATTTGGACAAGGATAAAATAAGTGCTTTGATATTTCTATTGTGACAGTTGCAGTATACGTCATGCCATTATCATGATATTAATGTTACTGTGGCAGTATGTGGTTTGTACCATGTAAAATATTATTTGAAGTAGACATATCATTAGTTTGTGTGAATTATAAAAAACTGTCTGTTGTGTATTAAACAATCCTATGTATATATACAATGGAATTACGTGCATTCATGTCAATAGTATGTTAATCCATTATGATGACTTGCTTAATGGAGGTTTTGGCATCCATTTAATGACAAATGTTGAATATGATGTGTAACAGAAATATCATATTCAATTATTTATTTATCAGGCAGAGTCACCAGCCTGTATTCTCCATCCTTCTACACTGGTCCCCACGGCTACAAAATGTGCTGTCGAATTTACCTGAATGGTGATGGGATGGGGAAGGGCAGTCATGTTAGCCTTTTTTTCGTGGTGATGAGAGGTCACTACGATGCCCTCCTCCGCTGGCCATTCAAACAGAAGGTCACTTTCATGCTGCTGGACCAGAACAACCGCGAGCACATAATAGACGCCTTCAGGCCAGATCCTACCAGCTCCAGTTTCAAGCGTCCAACCTCAGAAATGAACATCGCCAGTGGTTGCCCCCTCTTCATGGCTCTGACCCAGTTAGAAAAACAAGGAACGGCATACGTGAAAGAAGACACTATGTTTCTGAAGGTGGTGGTGGATACTGCGGATTTATAAAAGGGCAGAGGGGGGTTGCATTTTTCAGTGTCAGCCATAGTTTAATAACTATTACATTTATGGATGCCCTGCAATCTGCTCAGGTTGATATCACTGAGCAGATTTTGCCTAAGACTATGTATGCATGTCCTGCTATTATGCTCACCAGTGTTGAGATCCTAGGGGTTAGGACTACATTTCTGGAAAAATGGTCAAGGACAAGGATTTTAAAAGACATTTTTGATATCTTTCATTGTAATGAAAATTTGGTGTTATACTGGTGCTATTACGCTCATATACACAGACATGGGCCAGTACATTGTGCAATATATATATTTTATTTTTGTTGTTATTGTTATTATTTGTTATGTTCTTTTCATTTTTTTTCATTATGATTTATTTACATATTATATACTTTTTGAAGATACATATACAGTCAAATACCTGAGTTTTAAGAACAGTCAGGACATTAGTAGGATGTGAGCAAGGTTATTGAATGCACATGAACCTTTAATCAACAAAGGTCTGCATAAGTGGCTTAAGGCTTCAACAAAATGGGTCTTGATAAGTTCTGTACTATGTATGGACATGTTTCTCTCCATTTCAGGCACAAAAACTGATGTGTGCAATATTTCTGTCCAAAATAAGAAAGTTTTAATGTGCTTGAAAAAGAAGAAGAAAAAAAAAAAAGAAAAGAGTTGTTCATAGAGAAAATGAACAACCTTAACGTGTTCTTTGTCCTCTAACAGTGTGGAACTGCCCAAATGTTCAGTGTCATATGACCACATGACATTTACAACAAATTTTGAGTCATATTTAACTTCTGTCTTGACCACTGGCGTGAAATTAAGACCTAAGTTGTCATATTCCTGTAGTGGTCAAGACAGAAACTCTAAGCACTTCAATAAGATCATTTTATAACTTAGTATAAATGAGAAATTAGAAGAATTAAGTTTAGGAGTGGGGGGGGGGGAGAGTTTTTTATTGCACAATGTACCAGCCAAGCTTGTATGTGTGTATATGTCAGTATAGCATCAGTATATGTAACCAAGTTATAATACTTGATTTTTGGTTGACACTGAAAAATAATGATCATAAGGAGCTATGGGATGTCCCACAAGATTTCTGTTGGCATCAATTCCAAATTCTGGACTGAATAACCCATGTGTGAATGCACCTTGCAAGAGCTTTTCATGGTAGAAATACCATTGAAAAATTATTGTCTATGTGTATACCGGTACAGCAGTACTTTTTTTTTACTTAGCCCAATTACAGGATCAGTTACAAAGGAGTGTTTATACTGAAGATGGGTTGCCCTATTGAACATAAGGCCCTGTTCATATTGTGCAGTGTACCTAGATTGCAACAATTCGAAAAATTGACAACTTAAATAGATTATATTTTTCCTACTACCATTGAATTTCTGTTTTTTTTCCAACTTAACCTCAGTCTCAGCCCTGAACTTAATGGCCTGGCTATTATGTCTGGGCCTTATATGCATGGGTATGTACTTCACACATTTGATTGGATAAATTTTGATTGTCCAAAACAGGTAGTAGCAAACTTGTGAAATGGAGCAAGAAAAAGGGAAATGCATTGCAATTAAAATTGAAAGTTGCAATACAGATGAGTACACCAAGCAATGTGAAAAGGGCCTAATTATTCTCTACTGGCTGGCTGATCGAGATAAGCTTACCTTTAGCAAAATATCAGGCCTGTTGCTAACTTTCTTGCAAATGTGCAAGAACATTAATACCAAGCTTTTCATTTTGCTAAGGGTACCTTAGGCACTTGATGAATTTTTATTATTCCCCAAAAATCACACCTATACTAGGTGTAAAAGAACAGAAGGATTACATTGATTTTTTTGTGATTGGACCATCAACAGGGAAGACTTACTCTATGAAGAGTCGGTCTATCGTCAGTAAATGCATTCCTTAATGTAATTACCAATATAAGCTTAAGGCTCATTTCCATTGAAACTACCGGTATCTATATCTGGGGTAGCACTAACACTCGCCAATTTAGCCAAATGCTAAAACTGACTAAAATTTGCTAAACAAAAAGGGCTTGATTTGACTAATTTTAGTCAAATTAGAACCATTTGGATTACAAATTGACAAAAAAAGTGGTGATTTGGCTAAGGGAAAAAATTGCTCGCGCTACCCCAGAATCTACATAGATCCATCCAGCTCTGTAGGGACTCCTGCTGAATTCAGTTACTTTAACGGATATACACACCCCCTCTTGTTGTGCCACCAGCATAAGATATGATAAGTTTCTAGTGGGTTTTTTGGACCCCTGGAGGAGAATAGGGTTGTCCTACTGAGGACAGTGGAGGTTAAAGCCTTTGATAACTGACTACCCTTGGCTTGTGGAGTTATCTTTAATGAAAAATTCATTCTTGCATTGGAGTTCCTTCTAAAGTAATGATTATGGTCACAAAAATTGTAATATTTTGTCAATGTAAGTGAGGTTTTCTTAAATTTAGCAAGTAGCTGAATCATTTGACAAGCACAATTTTGATGGACTTTTTTTTTCAAATTTGTGCAGCGTTACTCCTATTGATCATTTCATACAGTGGGTAGTGTAAGGAGCCAACAAACTTATATGGTGACTTTGGTAAGAACTTTAAATAACAAATATATTTGAAAATTAGTAGAGAGAGCATGGACCAAGCCAAAAGTTTTTCTATTGTAGGAAATGTGAAAATGAGAAATGCTGCACCTTTGAAACACCCTGAGCTTCATAGATAACTTGACACTAACCTCTTCGCTGTAGTCTATCAAGTAACTTGACACGATGAAGATAGACTACAGTGAAGAGGTTAGTGTCAAGTTATCTCTGAAGCTCAGGGTGCTTTGAAAAGGATCATTACTTGAAATTCCAGCAGGATCTCCCAAGAAGGCCAATGTAGAATGTATTCCTAACAGTATTTGAAGAACCACAAAGTGTAAGTTACTCACACTGCAGAGCTACTTAATGGTCTTTGTGATATTGCTGATGTGTGTTAAATACTTCAGTGATAATGTTAAGAAAAATTCCATACAGTAGTATCTGTGAAAAAAATGTGCATGATTTCCTGTATCTGAATTTTTACTGACCACAGTAAAAATGTTCGTTGAGAGAAATAATACTAAAAAGTGGCCCTTGTAGAAATGAGTATATTACATTTTGTCTTGTGTAAAATGATTTGAGGTGAAAGCGTATGTAAAGCACTGATGGTGGTTCTATTTTGCGAGTAAGTTTTCACCTGGGTCCTCATGTTCATGTAGCTAGGGTTAAAGTCTACCTCTTATTATTCAATGTATGACCCAGATGAAAACTAATCAGAAATTGACCATTACCGTGGTGTTTTGTTGTCAAGGTATCCATGTAATAAACATGGAGCAGGTTTCTCCTATTTCTGTCCTGGTTCCAAAAACAAACTTTAGTCAGTGCCCTGGCTAAGGATATGTGCATGTGTCCATGAGAGTGCTGTAACACTGTTCCAGATAGGGTAAGATGTATGGATGTGTCCATGAGAGAGCTGTAACACTGTTCCAGATAGGGTAAGATGTATGGATGTGTCCATGAGAGTGCTGTAACACTGTTCCAGATAGGGTAAGATGTGTGCATGTGACCATGTAACGTTGGTAACAAAGATGATAGCCACTGGAACTGATTTAAGTTTGTTTGTGAAACTGGGGCCAGAAAAGCAGGCAATGCTGCTATGTGGTATTTGTTCTAAGAATTAACATTTAATGCTGGTATTGGTTTACCAATGATCAGTTCACCAAAGTGCATTTATCGTTGGTTAAGAATGCTCCTACCTCCTTGCTTTAGAATGCTGTGGCTGCATTCAGAAGAGCAGACTAACTAGGGCCAAATGTGGTGACCGACTAGAAAGTTTGCTGTCTAATCCACTTAAAGACATTGAATAGATTCCCTGTTGGAAAGTTTTCAAGTGGGTCCACCATATTTGACCCATGGACTATAGCTAGTTAGTCCACTGTTCTGAATGTGGCCTATGGGAACAGAGCTGTTGAAATATTTTGGTGGTTTTTGTGAATGGGAAATCAATCTGCTGACGTGAAATTAATGTCTCCTTATGATCACCCCCCCCTGCCCCTAAACTAATCCAGCCATCTACTGAACCCCTTATGATGAAGGTCATTATCACAACTGGGATGTGGCTTGGTTTGATTTACACAAAGACCTGAATGATAGTCTGAATTGACTTGAAAAAAAAGAAACATTGTGTGAATTGCCTTGCCTATATTTCTGCTTGTTTGCTTTCTATATATCAAAGTGTAAATTATATTAGTTTGATGAAACTGTATATTTAGATTTTTTGTTGTTGTTTGGTACATATATCTGAGGTGATGGTTTAGTGTTTTAAAATAGTATTATGCAGTATTGCTTTATTTTGTAATTGTTAGGTATATATTCAAATGCACTGTATAATCAAGCCAAGTCAGATACTTTGTGCACATTATAAGATGCTGTGAGTATTTATCACATGGCCAGCAATTTCAAAAAGAGGGCTCTTTTTCTGAAAAAGAGGACCTTTTACTACCCTTTACCAGGGCGAGTGATAGATTTTTTACAGATATTCACAGATATGTCTCTAGCTAGATAGATGGTCATTTAGGGCTGAGTTGAGCCCTGAATGACCATCTATCTAGCTAGAGACATATCTGTGAATATCTGTAAAAAATCTATCATTCGCCCTGGTAGAGGGTAACCTTTTACCATAAAACCTTAGTGTACATAGATAAAATTTTAACTGGAGGGGATCTTTTTCCAACAAAAAAGACATTTCATTTGCTGCCCCCCCCCCCCCCCCCCTTTTTATTGCTGGCTTGATTTATTTGGATATTAAGTTATTTCAAGCACTTGATGAAGCACTTTGACACATTGGATCATTAATCTGACATGGAGGAATATTTTTGTTCCTAGGTTAAGCCTACTTCCTAAGTTAACACTCAGTATGTTACTTTTTTGTGATAACCTATTTATTTCTTTAACCTTATTATTTTGTCAGGTATCAAGAAATGTAAGAAGTTTTTGCATGTCAGTATTTTATAACAGTTTATTTGGAGGTTTCCAGTTAAACTTGGATTTCCATTGCCCTGGATTGTCTTTTTTCTATCTTCTGTTGTCCTGATAAATATTTACAGTGGTCTATTTGTTTGTCTTAATATGCATGTTATAAAAAATTGGGAATGGACAAAATGCTTTGTATTCAGAGTATAGACATTAAGGAAATTGAAGCACACGGCTCTGTATATTGCCATATTTAAAGGGCTGACTTGGGTCCTTTGTCATGTGGTTTCATGGAGAGATGCTTTGAAAAGCATTCTTGAACTTGATATCTATATTGCCTAGTGTGCATCATCTCCCAGAAACAAGATATTGTAAATAAGTTGTTTTACATTATTTCAGTGTGATTAAAGTTATAATATTATGTTCAAATGAATTACTCAGCACTTGACTAAGTCATAACTGGCCACAGAAGGCTTATGTGTACAAGGAGATGAAGTTGCTTTTTAGAACCCTATGAAGAAAGAAATTACTTAGCCAAATAGGCTGTGCACAAACGGAGAAATATAACCAGTTTTTACTTTTGTAAAAGCAATCTAATTTAAGTATTGCTTAGTTTAAAACAATAGTTGTGATATTAGGTATAACTTTAGTTTATCCCTTAATTACATGAAATATTGATTATATATACTGGTGCATAGTGGTATGTGTTTAACAACATTATCCTAGATAAGGAAAAGGGGGAAGCAAACCTCTTAAGAAAAAGAAAAATAATCTAAAAAAAAGGTTACAAAAATGAAATCTAAAAAAAAGTGCATATGTTTAAAAAATAATGTAACTGAATATTCATTATATAATCAGTGTGTTCTAATTTTGTCTGGGTGTGCATTGTTCACTTTAATTTGGTGTAATGCTGCTTTAAAAAAAGGTTCACTAACTATA